CATCCCGAGGCGCGGGCCGGCCCCGCTCGCGCTTCCCCGGGGCCTTCACCCGAGGGCCCCAGGCCGGCCGACGGAGAGGAGAGGCTGAGGGAGAGGCTGCGCCTTCTCAGCAGTCCTCTGTCCCTAACAGGCTTTCTTCACCAGAAAGTACCACATTCCGTTTGAATGATGGCAGGTTTTCCAAGCGCTGGAGCTGTGATACTCTAATAACCCCTTAGCAGCTGGATCGGGAAACGTGTCCTGTTGCTGTAAAAAATACCTGTGCTGGAGTCTGGTAGTGCGGTGCTGTGTTCCCACAGGCTGGGGAGAGCCTCTTTCTAAATACATTTAGTAGCTTCAGGTCAGTAGCCTGAAGTCAGCCATGCTGGGGGCATTTACACCATGAAATTGGCCAACTCTACACATCAGTTTTATGTGTGTGTGTGGGGGGGGTGTCCCCCTGCAAAAATTGTTCACCTTTATCCCCCTCACTATTGCTGATAGAAGAAAGGTACACAGAATCTTCATTAAACCAATATAAAGTTATATGGTGTTCAGCATAAACAACACCTCTAGCCAGTCATGGGGGGAAAGGCTTGGCCTCAAAATAGCAACCTCACAGCCTGGGTGCAGAAGCCCTGGATGAACTCACCTTTCCACCCTCTTCACAGTACCTTGGGACTCACACCACTGATCTGGTGGTTCCCAAGGGAGGGAAACCCCTATTCTAACATTAATGTTTCATTATTCATAGGTGGCTACTTTTAAAATTGACATGAGCTGTATTCAATAAAAACATCACTATACAAAAATCACAAAAACCAATAATTTTTTTTTTTTTTTGAAAGAACAAAATAAGAAATAATGGAGAAGGGAGAAAAGGAAAACCTAAGCTAAAAAAAAAAAAGCAATGAAGTTGAAGATAGAACTGAAGTTGAATCTGAAGTTGAACTCAGATTCCTGGAAGGCAAAAGATAAAGGTAAAATAAGAAATATCCCTTTATATCTGAGATCTGATCTTCAGCAGAAGCAGCCTTTCCCTTCAATCTAATATACATTTTCCAAATGAGGCATTAAGTAGCTTAACACATGGTGAAATCACCCAAACTGTAGATGTTCAGATAACACATTATCATGTATATGCTGAAGACGCAGTGTACAGAGTGAAGGTCCTGTCATGCTTTTACTGTTCGTTTTTTCCATATTTTTTTGCTGTGACCAGGCTAGCTTTAGACCAGCCTTGATTATTCCACTTGGCTTGCAGCCTTTAGGAGCTACAGAGCTGACTAAAAAGGAAGTGCTACGAAGGGGAGAAAGACATGCTGGAGGAAAAAAGGAAGGGGGTGCCCTGTGGAGGTCCTTACAGGGATTCTTTCAACAAGTTAAAAAACAAAGAAGTGAAATATTAGTACTCTCATTGCCATCCAGTCTTCTAGCATAGGGTGGTCAGCACACAGACTAAGGATAAGCATTTGTTTGCAAAAATGGAAAGGTCCTTAGAGGAGGGAGGTATTCATCTGACCACACTATAGGATTATTGATTGTTAGAATTAAGCTGAACTTTAGGGACAGTTTTAAACCATCTCCTGCTAAGGAAGGTGTCCTTTCCTCACTACCACTGCTCTGTCATAATCCAGGCCTGAAAGATTTCTAGGGACAGGGAACTATAGTCTTTTGGGGGGTGGCTCTAACTACTGGGAGTTGTGGTCTTATAATGATCACAAATAAACATTTCTGTTACTTATGCACGGTGGTTCTGCTTCTTTCTGTCCTCTGGGTGACACCAAAGTTGTATTTTCCATCTAATAGTCCTTGAGGTTTACAAGGAAAACCCCCTTAACCTTTTCTTCTCCAGGTTAAATATACCCATTCCCATCAGTCATTCAATTATTTTTAAGGAGTCTCCCTGAATAATTAAACAATGAATTCCAGAGGCATAATATTTACATATTTTTACATATTATATAATATTTACTGAAAGTTTACAATTAACCTAATAGTTTAATTAATTGATGGTAACTAGAGCTAGTTTATTTGATAATACATTTTTAGGATTCCAGGTTATTTAAAATGTACCAAATTTTGGAACTATATTAAACATAATTTAGTCTTTCTTTGATATTTTGGAAAGTATAATAAGATCCCAGAAAGCATCAAGGCCATCATATGGCTATATTTTTTTTTTATTGCAAAACAGCCACATGGAAGACGGCTAAAGTGAATGTTCCAGCTAACAAAATAGAATTTTCTTTACCTATAACCTAAGTCATTAGGTAGTTTTGCTGTTTTGTTTTTTATTTCAATTCTCTTTTATTACATCATTGACTCTAGTTCCATTTTGCTTTAACTTTAATCAACACATAAGCTTTTATTCAAAGCACAAGATCCCATAGCATCAGCAAAGAAAAGAGCAGAATAATTTGCCACCAAGAACCACGAGAAAATTCTTACTCTCATTTAATTGCCCCTTCTGGTCAAAATACCGTTTATCAAGAAATTGCTTAAAATTAAATAAAAAAGGTAGAAAGTGTTGGAAAAGTTTGACACCAAATAGAAAGAAATACAGTATAAAAGAGTGGTGTTGATGAGCCAACTCAGACATTTTCCGTGTTAGTCTACATGTAAGGAAATCACTAAGGTGTTATCCTGCTACATTTCCTTGCATTGTCTTATCTGGGACCAGGAATGGAGATGGAAAAAAGAGCATTTGCTCCAACCCTTGATGTACTCCCGGGCTTTTTAAATCTGAGGTTAATTTCCCTTTCAATTATTCATCCTTGGCTATCCCCAGTCCATTCTCAGCACCTAAATGGATTTTCCAGACATTCACACAATTGCAAGAACAACTGCCTTGCGTCAGGAATTGCAGGTAACACTCTAAACCACAGAGAAACCCATGGCAACCACAACCACTGTAGGGTTTTCCAAAGAGCCTCATTCTATCGGGCCAGCAAACATCTCCCTCAACAATGCAGAGCTGCCACTGACGCCAGCTCTCAGGGCAATCGGACTGACCTTCAGGGGAGAGATGTGGGACTGCAAGACGTATCCGTGGACATTCTCTATTTGAGACAAGTTCTTCTCTGACACGTGCACGAGCTCAGGGCCTCTCACTTCATGGGTTAGTCGAGGTAAGGAATGATCATGTGGGGCATCCTCATCTTGATATCGATACTTCTAGGAGAAAAGGCAAGAAAGAAACACAGCATTAGTGTTTGCAAAGGGTGCAGCCCTGAGCTTCATCTTCTAACTTCAGTTGCAGGACCCAGGGTGTACCCATTGTTGACATCACCAAACAGGCTTTGCTGCAGACTCTTTTGGTGACCACCATAAACCAGGTCAAGTGCAAGCAGAAGTGAAGCAACCATCAATATTGATCAATGCTGATGAATTGTTTTAGCCTGACAAAGCACTCTTTCTATTTATGGGCTATAGAAGGGTGCCAAGTGGCTCATGCTAACACAGGTGGATCATAGGTAGTGGAAGTTGCTTGTTAAGGGCTATTTAATCCAAAGGAGTAAACAACTTAGTGGACCCACTTAATCTTTTCAGGTGATATGGGTCTACCCCTCCTGAAGTGAAAGGGCGGTCAGCTTGTTTCATAAGATGGGGTCCATGATGTCAAATACAGGTAATCATTTCTCCTAAGGATTCTATGTGCCACTCACAACCCAGCTAGTAAACTGTTAGTTTGCCTTACTTTGCTTTTGTTCCCTGTGAGTGATACAGGGGTATTATGGGCAGGGGTCCAAGCTTTGTCATAACATCATCTCAAGCTTAAATGTGATGGCGAATCTTACCCCAGCACCCCGTTATTATTATCACCAACAGTTATTTTTATCGTGTCAGGTGGCTAACAACATGTTTTCTTACAAAATCATACCTATGTTTCTTTCATTTTTAAGGTAAAAATATGATTTTTTGGACCTCGGCTCTCAGGCCGACTCATAATCTGACAGTAACAAGAAGGGTTGGCAATTCAACGTTATCATTACTTGTATTTTCCAGAGAGGCTTTCTACCATGTTCCAAGCTTAATATTAGTTTCAAAACAAAAATACAGCTAACAATATCTTGACTACAGTTTGCAAAGGGCTTTCATCTGTTTCTTCCATTGCAATCCTTCTTATTTATGATGTTCTATTTTACTGATGAGAAAACTAACACTCAGAGAGGTTCGGAGACTTGTGTGGGGTCCCTTAACTAATGGGCACCAGAGCTGGAACCCTGTTCAGATCATTTAAATCTGAGTCCTCTCTCTGCCACCACCAAACCCTCCCCAACATCCATGAGGCGATGAAGCCCAAATCTGATAACTGAATTGGGAGCTTGCAGAAAGCACCTCATTGAGGCAGAACACCCCACAAAGAGAATTTCTGTGAACTGCAAAACACCATCCTTCTGTTTTCTTAACCCTGTGAATAACCTGGGAAGGTAATCTGCCTCGGAAACATGGATGTGGTTCAACATTCATTCTTGATGGGTCATGTGTTCATCGGGAGTGGAATAATGTCATGCACACGCCCGGCACAGTGTCTGGGCTTCCAGCCATCCACCCTCCACACCCCCTCCCCCTCCTCCATTCTCTCTCAGGGAGGCACTACCACCTATTGTTACCGGAGCCAGAAAAGTCGGAGTCACTGTGACTCCATGCTCTCTTTCACCCCCACCATCTGCCAATTTAATAAATCACTGAGCCTGTCTAATTTATATCTTGAATCCACTCCATCCCTAACCGACCCCCCCAACCTGCCCACCGATCGGCCCACCTTCAGCTTCTCATCAGCTCTCAGCCAGCCGCAGACAGGCTCTGGACTGGCCAGAGGGCCCCGAGGTGGCCCCTTCCCCATCTATCCTCTACCCTGCACCTGGGGCCTTTCTGAGTCACGCACTGACAAGACCCTTCTCTTAAAAACCTTTTAGTGGCTCCCAGGGCCCACAGGGAAGAGCCCGAGCCTCCTGGCCCTGTCATAGGCCACCCCCCAACGCCAGGGCAGGAGCTGAGCCCGCATGACTTTTGAACGTTTGCATCACCAATCCCACCTCAGGACTGTGGAATAAATATAAACAAATCATTAGCTTCATTTTTTTAAAAGCTTTTAAAAAAACTGTAGTAATATACATATAACATAAAATTTACCACCTTAACCATTTTTAAATGCACAGTTTCATGTTATTAAGTATATTCACATTGGTATGTAGTCAATCTCCAGAAATTTTTCACCTTGCAAAACTGACACTCTACACCCATAAAACGAAAACTCCTCATTTTCCCCTCCCCAAGTCCCTGGAAACCACCACTCTACTTTCTATTTCTATGAATTTAACTGCTCTAGGTACCTTATATCAGTGGCATCACACGATATTTGTCTTTTTATCGCTGACTTATTTCACTTACGTAAGTCTTTGTGCTTCATTCGTGTTGTGGCATGTGTTAGAATTTCCTTCTTTTTAAAAGCTAAATAATATTCCATATATTCCTATACCACATTTTGTTTATTCATGTACCTGTAGATTGGCTGTTTGGTAGCTTCTGCCTCTTGGCTATTGTGAGCAGTGCTGCTGTGAGCGTGAGTGTGCAAATATCTCTTCAGGACTCAGCTTTAAGTTCTTTTGAATAGATACCCAGAAGTAAAGTTATTGGATCATATGGTAATTACATTTTTCATTTTTTGAGGAACTTTTTAAGCTTTTAAAAAGTTAACATATGTAAAGCCATGTTCATGTCACTCATAAGAATCTGAAACATACAGGGCCAAAGGCACCACAAGTAAAATTTTGCAAATTCAAGTGATTACTATGTCTCCTCATGGATTCCTGTAGTGGAATTCAGCTGATTTAGAGAAAGGTGCTATCCTAAAAGTACACATCTCACTGACTAGTTTGGATAAATAACTGTGAGAACACAGGTAATAATAATCTTAGTGGAGCTTATAAAGTGTCACAAAGAACTTATTTTAAATTAATTATTTTCATAAATTTGAGACCCAATTTAAAGACTGACAGGGCCTTAAATCAGACTGAGAAACCAATCAATATTTTATTAGTAAAAACTGTTAATTTTAACATTCATTGATCCTTTAGGCCTCAATTACACTCCTTTTCTGGAAAGCTTCCGTGGGTGGGTGGTCCCATAGCTCCCTATACTCCCTCAATCACAGCTTTTATCATGTTATATGGTTGGGTATTTTTCATTTGTTTGTTTGTTTTTACGTTGAACTGTAAGCTTTTGTGAGAACTGAGATCATGTAGTTCTTGTTTATCCTTGTATCTCCAGTTCTTAGCCAAGTGGCAAATATATGCTTAATAGGTAATTGTTGAATAAAGTTATAAATGACAATTGAACAAAGAGATGAAACAGGTATGAGTTGCTTAAGCTGCAAAGGTATTTTGGCTGCTAAACACAACCTGTTTCATCACAAAACATTATGACTTCAGGTTCAAGCAAAAAAAGTCAACCACATCATTTGCTTGACACTACCTTAAAGAAAGCCAGATCCTTAACTATTACAGATCCTTCTCTTCATCACTCCTTTCAGCAACATACGCTAAAAGTGTAACTGAATAAAAACCAATTCTCGACCTCAAGAAGACAATATGTTATTAAGTGAGTCATACGTATGTGCAGCTAAGTCACGACACATAGCGATAATCTGAGTCTGTGGCAGGGGAAATGGCTTCTACCATTTCAAATGGCTTGAACCATTTGAAACAGGATCTAGAATGATAATAAAAAGAGGTAAGGGATATTCTAAACACGGACAACAACTATTTAGAGGAGATAAGTGTCGAGAGGGGATGCTGTTTTGAAGGAACAGTGAGATGTTGAAATGGATTGTAGTAGATGCTATCGTCTCCTCCACCTAAATCCATGGAAATCCCTTTCACGCATTCAAGGCCCACATCCGCATACTTCTCAGGAAGCTTGCCCTTTGGTAACTGAAGCCTCCTGGGAGGCTTAGGAGGACTGGGAGTTAAGCTAAAACTCCCAACTCGAAAACCTCAAAGTGAAACAAACCATTGTGTTGCAGATTACACTTCAAAGCACCTGGCAGGATCGACCTGAAGCTAGACAGCACCTGAAGCTACATTCAGCAGAACTCCTGGAGCTTTCCTCACTCCCTGAAGGGTTTCTCTTGGGAACTGCACTGCATAAATCGTGCTCCCACTAATCCCAGTTCTAGGTCCGCTTCAGGGGAGCCTGCTGTACGATCTGGATGCAGCTTGGGATGTGAGGTGGAGTGTGGCTGTAGACAAGCCTGAAGGGCAGCTTGCTATCTTTTGTAGACAGCAGGGAACTATCCAGGAGGCCTAAACAAAACTCTCTCTGGTGCCAACCAGACATTTCTACCCCCCCCCCCC